AAAAAAAAAAAAAGTACAGAGAAAAGAAAGCAGCAGATTTCAGAAGAAAGTGCATTTTTGAAAGGGTTTTTGCAGATGTATTCTTCCCTGCCTCAAAAACATACCACAAAGAATAAGAAAATAATGCATTTATTTAGACAGAATAACTGCTTTGAATGTAGCTAAGTCTGATATAGTAGTTACATTCTAATTGTAGCAATCAGGTATTTTCAGAATCTCTGTATCTCTTAATCTCTTATCAGTTAATATTAATTATGATAAATAATATTTTTCAGGGGAGGAAGCCAGAACACAGTACTTTTCATCTCTACATAAGTGAGTGTAATTTTGAGGAGAGACAGAGAGAGAAAGACAGGAACCACACTGGCTAATTTAAGTCCCACTGATTTTCGGTGATTCTATTTTAAGACTGGTGTAGTGCTTTGAACACTGGACTATGACTCTGGAGACCAGGGTTTGAATCCCTGCTTGGCCATAGAAACCTACAGGATGACCTTGGGCAAGTCACACTCTCTCAGCCTCAGAGGGAGGCAAAGGCAATCTCCTCCCAAAGAAATCTTGCCAACAAAACCCCATGATAGGTTTGCCTTTGTGTGATCATAAGTCAGGAATGACTTGAAGGCACACAACAACAAATCCTGTTAGTAACATATGTAGGCATACATTCTGTTACACCTGAGAATTGATTTTTTTTTACATTGTGTAACAATTGTATGCAGCTTGTGGGGTATAACTGGAGTTCAACATGTGGGGCCATCACACATGCACCAGCACATTAATGTACACAGTGTATGGTGTTGAAGTACATTCCCTCTACATGTTGACTTCACACATTGTGCATTGCAGTTACACAATGGGTTGTGAGACATGCATATTGACCATTGATCCTCATATGTTGTACCACTTTGGTATAGGGGCTGGGCAACATAACTCTGCAGCAGGTTTTAATGCTACACTAAAGCAATGCAGGATCTCAGCCAGTGTAAGACTAAATTCGGATCTAATCCCTTCTAAATAAATCATCTGTAGAGCATAAAAAAATGAATGCAGAAGGAACAGCTGGCCTTCTTCAAGTGAATCTAGATAAACAGATATCCCAAAAAATACAATCTAGGTAAGATGTAAAACAGTGGTTCCCAACATTAGCTCCTTCATTTGTTTTGGACTTCAGATCCCAGAAACCCAGCCAAGTTGGCCAACAGTCAGGAACTGAGGGATCACAAATCCAAAACATCTGTAG